GAGAGAGAGAGAGACAGACAGACAGAGCGAGAGAGACAGAGAGAGAGACAGACAGACAGAGAGAGAGAGACAGAGAGAGAGAGTAAAGGAGCCCAAGCCCAATAAATTCTCTGGAAATCCTCCAGAAACTCTGAACATTAAAGTTTGTCAGCAGGAAATTAAACTACGGTGGCTGAAAGGAGCCAAACTGCAGCTAACATTAAAATGCACCAGAACAGGAAACGGAAGCAAAAACATCAGCAAGAATAAAACGCTCCAAACTGACTCCACAGACGTTAGTCCTCCAGACCAGCAGGGGGAGCCGACCGCTTCATCAGGAACTACAAACTCAGGAATGACGGGATTCCAGAAGAAAGTTGAGTGGAAGAAGGAAAAGGTTTTCTATCCTTCATGGTTTTCACAATCGTAGAGAGCAGCAGCATATTTGTGTAGCTAATATGGCCGACTCCAGACTCCCCCTGGTGGCCTGGAGGACTTCTGCTTCGTGTAGCTTGTTTTTCCTTTTGCTTCTGGTTCCTGTGATTGCAGCGTTTTTCTGTTAACATTCAAATTTTTTCTTTGTGTGTTTTGGATTTTGCATCATTCATTCTGTGTGTTTTCAGCGTTTCGCCACCACAAAAAAGAAATAATGAGCGGTCTAAGAGTTTTACACATTCTAATCTGAATCTGGACACATATGCACTTCCTGTTTGTGGTAAAAAATAAAAAATGAAGGAAAGAATCCAGAAACTTTACCTTCTCACTAAAACAACCCCAGTTTCAGTCTGATCCAGAACAAACAGAGAACCAGAACCTGCAGAGACAGTAACATTATTATTAATATTGTGATTAATAATAATTATTATTATAAAGAGTTTATATACTTATAGTCATTCATATACGTATATAAACTTATATTAAGGCATTTATAAATGCAGAATGCATTTATCTTGCATTCTGCAACATAAATTATACTGAATTAATAATTAATTATTTAGTTTTATTTAGATTTCATATATATATATATATAAAATCATTTCAAATATTTCTCTTTTTATTTTATTAGGAAATCAGTCATATTGAGTCACCTAAAAATTATCTTACCTTCTGCAGTAACTTTCTATTCTTCATTATATTAACAATTATTATTCTCATTAGTGTTATAATCTGCATTTTTAATGCAATTTTACTCGTGTTCATTAATTTATTTTACTGTTAATTTTGAGTTTGATAGTTTTTATCACAGTTTAACAGATTTTTATTTTTCTCATTTCTACTATTTTTACTTATATTATTTACCAAATCTGATTTACATTGAAGTTTGTATTTTAATTTAGCATTTTTATATTCTTTCTTTTCATTGAAATAATAATCATTATTATCTAATCTTAAATATTTGTTGAAGTCATTTCTCTCTGATTGTATTTCATCTGAATCTTTTCCAGGAAGGAAACCAGGTTCTGCTCTGACTGATAAAGTTTCAGATGAATTTAATATTTTGTTGCTCGTATTTATTTCTGTATGAACCGTCATCCGCTGCTTCCTGATGTTTCCGTCTCTCCACACTGACCGGTTATTCCGTAGAACTGGGACGCCGCGCAGGCCAGTCGGTTCGGGAGGAACGGCGACGCCTCCACGGCGTAACCATGGCGACCAGGACAGCGAAACACCTTCATCGTCGTCATCAGATACTGCAGAGGGAAGGAGACCGTTAAAGTTCAAAGGAAAAAAATATCCAGGTAATATATCAGAATTAAAACTTTTTCATATTTTTTATTCAATCTTAGTCAATTTACAATGTTTTTATTTATTTATTTCTTCCTCAACACAAAAAGATGCAAATGGATATGAGGAATTCAGAGTACAAAATTAATTTGCAAATATTTTTTTTTAAATAAAAATATAACAAATATAAAATTTTGGCAAAATACACTTTTAAAAACCACAATACAGAAAATAGTAAACTGTATTTTAAGAAAACAATTAGATGATAAATATTTACATACGATAGCAATTTTAATAAATTGCTACTACAGTAAATAATAATACAAGAAAATGCAGCGCTATTTAATCTGTTATTCTTGTTCCATCTGTTGTATTTCAGATCCCAAAGCTGAGTTTACTGCGGCTGCGCAGAAAATACACTGCAAACACACAGTAATGACTTTTTTCAGCTGAAATCATTCGAGTCTTAGGTTTCTGTTTCTAACGTTAATCTTAAATAATCAATAATTAACTGAACTGCGTTTGATACCAGAAAAAAATTCCAAGTCCGTCCGAACTCACCGGTTCCGCTCCAGCGTCGCCTTTAACCGTTAAACGTTGATGAAAACCATTTAAAAATGAGCAAAAAGAAGGTTCTCCACATCTAAGCAGATCCTGTGCTGCTCACATCCTCCAAAAGCTGCACAGCTGCAAACACTTCCGTGTTTTGATCAGCTGACTTGATAACCCGGATGAGACATTTAGGACGATCTCTCTTTCTACCACTAGATGGTGCCGTTTCATCAAAACAATAACCCAGAGGCTCTGCAGATCTACAGCAATAAATACAAAATCTCATTCTATTAGACAAAGAACTGATTATTAATTAGTCTGCTGTGTAATTTGAGGCATCAAGTTTAATTAATTTGCAGTTATCCAACTGGGAAATACATCAGAACACCTGCATTAAAATCTGACTTTTCAGAAAACTGTTGGGCCAAAAGAGCCACAATCCTCCTGAAAACAGGAATACATAAACAAAATGTTACATTTACATAATAGGTAGATAGTTAGTTGAAATGTTTTAATTTTAAATACACATGTAAAAATTATTAAAATTATATATAAACATTCCACTCAGAACAAATTTACACAAGAATGTTACAATTTGTACAGAAGTATGAAGATAGCACCCCAAACAACAGATTTAGAGAGTTTATCTGCCAAAGAAAAGTTGATTTGAGGTTTAATGATTGTTTTAGTTTCACCTCCTGGCCAACAGTAAAAGAGAGAACATTTATTCAACAGGATGAAAAGTTGTTTTTATGTCTTTTCCACTAAATTCAGCTGAAAGGGGAAGTTGCCTTGAATGAAACACATTTATAAATCTTTGTCGGGACCCAAAACCCCATAAATTCGGTTGTCCTTCATGCAGTAGCAGCTGAAGAGTCCAGTTTACAGAAAGCTGAGGTGGATTCATGTCAGCACAACAGACTGACTGCAGCTCCTCCCTTCTGGAAAGTTTCTGTTTGTCATTTATTACTTTATTTCCAGTAGAATAAAATAAAGCCAGGCTTCTCTCCTGAACATCAGATGCGACTCCTGTCCTGCTGCTTGACCTCCATGTTGGAGCCGGCGGAGCGGCGTGGGCCCGGCTACAATGAGGCGCTGTGTCCCTGCAGCATGGGGCAGACAGAGGGCAGAGAGGGGCAGAAAGTCAGGTCAAACCACCCTGGGAGTGCAGGCCTGGGAAAAGCAGGGGGAGGCAGGCAGAGGCTGCTGCTGGAGACTTTCAGAGAGCAAAGAGCATTTAGCTTCCCCTAAATTAATTTCTCCAGATAAATTCTAAAGAGCTAAACTTCTTGGCTGTTTTATAAACTTTCAGTTGAATAAAGTTCAACATCTGTGTTGAAGTTTGATTGTAAACTGTTAAGAATTCTCCAAGAAGTTTATATCCTTAGTTTATATTCATGCTCTTAATTTGAAGTCCATTAACGTAACTGGTATGGCACTTTTTATTGTTAGTTTCCATTAAATACTGTATTGATAGCATTTAGCATTAGCATCCACTAATTACTATTTTGTAGTAACACTTTAGCATTAACTTGGACTAATTGTTTAGCACCTTAGCATTAGCTTAATACCACACTGTACTTTAGCAGACCTGAAGCTTGTGATTAGTGTTTTAGGGCTAATGCTGCTAACCTTTTAGCTAGCGGTGCCCTTGGCTGGTCACAGCCAGTGAGATGGTTCATGATAAACTGGGGGCTCGTCCGGGGTTTGTGATGATTTATCTCACTGGCCACCGCACTGATGCTGCGGCGGGTTGGAACTGAAACAGGCATCGACAGAAATGACCATCATGCATCTGTGATGAAGCTGCTTGTATTGGACAGCAGCTGCAGTCGGATCAGGCAGATAATCTTGGGTAAGCCTCCTCCGTCGGTTTGTGGCCATCAGGTCTAAAGGTGATTGTCGTTCTGTGCGATCTCTGCTGACCGGTCCAGAAAACAATGAGCGCCTGTGAGCAGAACCGGGGAATAAAGCCGTCTTTCAGCGCAGAAACGCACCAACACCCTCCGCTCCGTCGCTGAGGTTCTGATCCTTAAACAGCAGCTTCTCCTCAGGTTCTGATGGTACTGGAATAAAAGATCATTATTCTGCTTCTCAATGCATCTCGGTCTGTTTTTAAATGTTTTTATTTTCAGCAAACATTTTATATGCCAGATTTTCTAAATGATAAAAACGGAGTGTTCTGATTGGTGGAAAAAGAAGCAAAGCCTGAGAATAATTCATCTTTAGTCACTTTGAATTGATAATAAACATAAATATTAAACATTTTACTCTGGTAGAAATGAGAATTGAGTCTCCATGTTCTTCATTCTTTCAGTTTGGTATCCGATTGATGTCAGAGGAAAATTTCCTGGATTTTTTCCCCCTCAGGCAGGAAAAAGACACCTAAATCTCCGGGGCCGAGCCGATGCAGCCGGAACGTCACCAGCCTGCAGTGAAGCTGCTTCTGCTCTGCCAGCTTTGCAGAACTTTAGTCATTTAGCATCAGGAAACTCTCTTCTTGTTTTTTGTTTATTCATCAGTTTCTTGATACTTTCCACATTTATATTTATTAGGTTAATGCTAAAAGCTTAAATGTATCTTTAGTAACCTCTAGTTGAACAAAGAGATGAAAAGATTCTGTTTTATTTTTTCTTATTATCCCTCAAACCCCCCCTCATATGCAGCCCTGGGCAACTGCCCAAAGCTTCCTGTTGCAACAATGTTAACAATGGCTACTAGCATTCTGCATTCATCATGAGATTAGATCATTTTAGGAGAAAAATGTGTGAAAATATGGAAATAAAAATGGATTTAATGGGGAAAAAAACACTTTTCATAACATAAATGAAAAATGATTTAATTTCTATTTCTGGATCATTTCCTGTTAAACTCAGATTCACTCTGTTCCCATTTCTGCACATCAATAACCTTCATTTGGATTCATGCCGTTTTTAACCAGCGGCTTAGTCAAAGTTTTGTCCGATGAACTGGACTGACAGTAGCCAGATGACAACAGAGGAACCAGAGTTTGTTGTCGCTCTGCAGAGCATCGAAGCAGAAAAGGAGGATTTATGGTGACAAACCGGTGGAGAGGCTGATCCACAAGAGTTACAAAAAGATTTATGACATCATGTTCAGCTGGCTCTTATGACACATTTCAAAATAAATTCACTCAAATATCTATCATAGACGGAATTTTCCCAGCAGAGCATTTTGAAGCTGAAGCACTGGGGGAACTGGGGGAGTCTGCGATAACTGACCGTGTGTGTGTGTGTGTGTGTGTGTGTCTTTCCCACACCCACTCCTCCGTCTAGAAACCACCTCAAATGTCAACATTAGCACAGCGAGCGGCGGAGGCCCGGCGGGCCGGGTTGCGCTCCTCGGTTCTGTTCAGGGCGGATCCGCTTCGGCCGAGACGAGCCGCTGAATTTATAAAATAAAGATTCTTGTAAATATGTTACCAGTGGTGAGCATTGCTAACTATAAAGCTAGCTGCGCTAATCATAAACATTAGCTCTGCTAACGCTAAGCGCTACACCACCATGCTTTAGCAAAAGCTAATGCTAAAACACTAAATTTAACCATGTTGCTTCATTAACACAGCAGGTTTTGTGTAGAAGGGCCACAGCGGAAAAATAAAAGAGTGAAAAAGTTGATCATTTTGACTTTTGAAACTTTAAAAATTTTCAAATGTTGAAAATAAGCTAAGTGCGCTAAGCTAAAAGTTAGCTTAAGTCTTACTTTTGATTTTTACTCTGGGCTCAGATTTAGGGAACAAATGTAAAGAAATGTTTTGCTGAGGTGAGACTAAGGCAGAGCAGAACCTGCTGACATGAGCGTCAGCCCGGTTCTGGTTCTGGTTCTGGTGACCAGAAACACTCACCGTCCTCCGCTCCAGACTGCGGGCGCTCCTGATAAGGCCCAGACAGATAACCGGAGGAATGCGGACCTGATCCGACAGCCGGCTGGAAAACATCGGAACGAAGAAGAGAGAACACCGAGGTGTTCAAAGTGGGGGGCGAGGGCCGTCTGCGGCACGGGACAAAACTACGACTTTACATTAAAATCATGACAGCCTGGGGAAATGTTTCAAATGAAGACTGATCTGATTAGAGACGAAAAATCTTCACTTTCAAACCCAAAATAAGAAGCAAACTGGACGTTTTTCATGGAAATATAAATGGATTTAAGGGGAAAAAACAATTTAAAGAAGGAAAAACCATTTGGACTTTTGGATCTATGATCTTGTTTCTATTTTTAAAAAATCTAATTTTTGTTTAACTAAAATAGTTAAATAATATTTTTTTAACACTTTTTAGTGTGAAAAATATATTTTTCACACTAAAACAAAATAAAAATGGATTTAAGGAGGGGAAAGAAAACCTTTTTTTACAATTTTGAAAAATGATTTAAAATTTAAATTTAATTTCTATTTCTGGATAATTTCCTGTTAATCTCAGAGATTTATTCTGTTTTCCCATTTCTGCACACTGAAAATAAGAACCTGCAAATCTTTATAGATTTATTAAAGATTTGTTTTCATGTGACGTTTTTATTCGTTTTTTCAGATGTTAATCAGATTATTCTTTATTTGATATCAGTTCAGGTCCAGTGTGTTTAGATCAGCAGCACCTGTTTCTGGTTCTGCTTGACCCGGTTCTGGTTCTGGAGGGTTGTACGTGTGTGTCGACAGCGGCCGGTGAGCCGAGACGATCTGCTGCGGGCTGCAGGCGCGATGAAGATGATGGGAGGTCTTCCTCCTGCTCTGTGAGGCGTTCAAGTGCTCGGAGATTACAGAGCGCAGCGTTTCCAACACGTCGTCACCTTCATCACTGCCAGGCCTTCCTCCTCCTCCTCCTCCTCCTCCTCCTCCTCCTCCTCCTCCAAAGGATTACTTTGGTTTTAAAGTCATTTCTGCACTGAAAAAAGAAAAGTTCAAACTTTAAAAAACTCAGATAATTTGTTACATTTAATAAAATTAAATTTGTCAAACTTCATTTATTTATGTTTGTTTAACATGGGAACTTAAAAACGTAATATTTCTACTGGATAAACTTAATTTCATTACTTGTAATAAAACAACCTCACCTGTTTTCCTTTTTCAGTTGTTTTTATTTAAAGCATATTTGGGTTAATTTCTACAGAAGGCTGATCCTGTCTAAATTGTCAATAAGTAAATAAATTATAGGAAATAAAACTATTACAAAAAATGCTGAATAAGTAAATAAATAATCAAAAATAGGACACAATAAAATTAAATATGTAATTTTGGAAATAAGTAAATAAATCAATGTAATTCTTAATTTCCAAATTAATTTATTCCATTTACTTTTCCTCATACTTTTCCCTAAAGTTTCTGGTAGTCAGGTGGGCGTTTCCATCACTGACGTAAAACATGGTTGGTTGGCTACGATAATCAGTGTCAGCCAATCAGCTCCCAAGAAAATCAAACTAAAGTTCTTGGATCTGCCTGCCAACTTATGTTTTCCATCAATACTAAGTTTTCTACGGCTAGAAATGAGAAGTAAAAATAAACACAATTAATAACTTAATATGGTAAAACAATATTTTATATATATATTTTTTTGTCCGATTTTGTCGATTGGAGCCTGATCTCTCTGGAGCCGGGAAAAAGCTAAGCAAACCCAGCATATGCTTTGAGCCCTCCCTGCCACTAGGGGGCCAAGAAGAAGAAGAAGCACTCTTTCAGCAACAAGGCATCAATTAATAAAAACTAAAACAACACAAGTACAATGAAAGGAAAACAAGCACAGCACCAGTAATCCCAGATGTTGGGTTTATAGATGTAAGTAGAAGCAGTATTTTTGAACAATGTTATGCATAAAAAGTGGCATTCAATGACCTGAGTAAATTTCGCCATTTGGAAAGTATTCGTATAAAGATGTAAAAAGTGGCGTTTTGAAGGCATTTTCGACTAATTTAACAAAAGTCATAAACTGACATTCTTTGTGTGACTTTTCAGCCGTGATCAAATTTGACACTTTTCTCTTTCCATACATTTCTGTCGCGCGCGAGATGGTTGAGTGCGCGTGCGCGTTGCTCCGTGGGAAATTTCCGGCAGGAGAGGAGGAGGAGGAGGATGAAGAGAGGGGAGGACACGGCGGCCGTCAGCCCAGTCCGCCGCCGACACGCAGGCTCCCTCCGCGGGGTATTTACCGGAGACTCTCCGCTGGAAGATCCGCTCCGGATCCGAGAAAGAACTTCTGATTCCTGGAGGAAATCCGGAGGAGATTCCTGATTCTGGAAAACTTCCGGGACTCTGACGGGTTCGGGTGGTCCAAACCCGGAATGCCGGCTCCGGGTCTCCTCCGGCTCTGACCCGTCTCTCCCCGGGGACTCCCGCCAGCTCTCCCCGCCGCCGGGCGCCATGAAGCGGCCGTGTGAGGACAGCAGCTCGGCGGAGCGGAGCGTCGCTGCGGGCCGTGAGAGGCTTCCTGCGGGGTGAGAACATCCCCGTCCTCCCTGGAGAACCTCTAACGTCCCATCATTAATTATGACTTTAGAAAGTCAAAATAACTTAAAATTAAAGACAACACTTTGTCATTAACTTTTCTGCTTTTATAAGAAATATTTTAATCTTTATGAAAATATACCAAGCGTCGATATTTTATTTATTTCGCAGAAATTCTCTCAAATGTTTCATCTTAAAATACAAAAAAAAAAATCATTTTAAACCCGGCATATCTGAACATTGAGGCTTTATAATTTCAGGACTTTTTCCAACTAACTGTGTGATCATTCATCACTATTATTTAACTTTTTTAGTTTTTCTTTGTGAAAAAGCAGATCTATCAATTTGTTGTCATAAATGTTAATTTAATTGATTTAAATCTTCCCAATTCACTTCAAATTCAAAATTACTGAATTGATCCCAAAGGGAAGTTTAATGTCATTAATATTAATTCAGATTCTTCAGAGTTATTGTAGATAAAAGAGTTGCTACAGTTATTTTTTGGAGGTTTATTTCTCAAGTTTCTCAAAGTCTTTTCAGTTTGTAGGTCCAGAAACATAATTATTCTTGCTGCTTCATTTCTGTTTTACATAAATAAACTCGAAAAGCTGTATATTTTTTTTTTTTGTTCTAAAACAAATAATTAAATCAAACAGAAATGTATAATTGTGATTTATGCAGAAATGATTCGGTGATACTGAGATCCAACACTGATAGTTAAAATGTTAATAATCAGAATTTGTTTTCATATAAACTGGATTGTTTTAAATGCCAAACAACATTTTAAATGTTTAACCAAAAAGGCTTAAATATTTACTGGCAAACAAAAGAAACTAAAAATGTTTGTTTTTCCTGGATAAACTTTGCAGTTTTCTCTGAGATTCCCGGTGAAATTAGGGATTAAAATCAGATTCCGTTGATTTCTGTGGATGTCCTGCAGGGATCCGGTCGGACGCGCGTCTCTAGCGGCGCAGCTGATGGCGAGGAAGCGGCGCAGAGGGGTAGGTTCACCGCGTCCCGAGGCCCGGAGCCTCCGACGCTCCTTCAGTTTCCTGTCGGTTCCAGGTCATCGAGAAGCGGCGCAGGGATCGGATCAACAGCAGCCTGTCGGAGTTACGGCGACTCGTCCCGACGGCCTGGGAGAAACAGGTCAGCCTGACCTTTGACCTCTCAGCTCCTGCGTTTCTGATGCAGCATCTGTGCAGCAAAATAAACAATAATCAGATTTTCTGAATATAATCATGATTAAATTACCAAATTACCAGTGAATTTTAGTTTTATAATTAATAAAAAATCGTCTGTCGTCCTTCAAAAAGGAATTTCTTTTAAAAAGTTATTTTTGAAATATTTATTTTAAAAATTGTTAAAAAAAATCTATTTTTTATTACAAAATTAGACATTTTATTTTTTAAATTTTCTACTATTTATAAAGAAATAGGAAGAGTTTCCAATTTTAAACAGAGATAAATGATCAGATTAAATAAGTTTTACTGGATTTTAACGAATCTGGATCTGCAGCTCAGACGGTTTCCCACCTAAAAACCGTTTAATAAAGTTTTCAGATACAGACTGAACATTTTATTCCTCAAATATTTTCCCTGTGAGGTGAAAAATGGATCCATGAATCACAGCAAAGTGACCCTGAGGAACTCCGCCTGCAGTTTACTAGAAACATAGAAGAAAAGTGGAAATCAGAACTTTGAAAGAATTTTCTTATTAAATGAAACTAGAATAAATCTATCAGTCTGTTTGTTTAAACAGCCAATCACCAGCCGAGAGAAAACTGACAAAAGTTTAAATGAAAAAACTTTTTTAGAGAATTTTCAATCTGTTAGCATCAGAACGGCTAACGGCGCCGCGCCGCTTCCTGCAGGGTTCCGCTAAACTGGAGAAAGCCGAGATCCTGCAGATGACCGTGGAGCATCTGAAGACGCTGCAGGCCGGAGGGACAGGTAACCACGGCGACGCAGAGACACCTGCAGCAGGTGGGGAGGGAGTTCAGCTGCTCCTCCAGCCAGCAATGCACCCACTTCCTGTAGAGGGGTGAATACTTCCTGTATGAGAGCAGATAAATGCTCAACAGGAAGTGATGTCATGTAATTATATTTCTTCAGGTGTTTTTTTAGCGTTAGCCGTTTGGCTAGCTGGTTTTGTTTATTAATATTTCTGTTCCTGTAAAAGTGAATAAATTCAAATTGGACGTGTGTGTTGGTCAGGTCAGCAGGAAGCGCTGGCGCTGGACTTCCTGTCTCTGGGCTTCAGGGAGTGTGTGAGCGAAGCGTCCTGCTACCTGAGCGCCGTGGAGCCCCTGGACTCCTGCGACGCGCTGCGGCGCCGCCTCCTGGCCCACCTCAGCTACTGCGCGGCCCAGCGGGACGCTGCAGCCATGGCGGCCCGCCTGCAGCCCCGCCCTCCCCATTACAGCCACTGGGTGGCGGCGCTGCGCCCGGACGGCGCCCCCCAGAGGCCGGTGGAGCTGCTGCAGCACGGTGTGACCTCCAGCTCACCTTCCTCCTCCCTGCTGCCCCCCCCCCTCCCCCCCCCCCCTTTTTTCCTCTCCCCCCCCTCTCCCCCCCCTCTCCCCCCCCCCCCCCCC